GTGACTGCAAAGAAGGGGTGCCTACGGATCCGTTCCCTACCCTCTACTGATGGAACATGAATATATTCCGTTACACCACATTATTTCGTGGTTATGTTTACTCAGATAAACTCACCTTTTTTATTATCTTTTAATCACCCCGAGTCTGCTTGAATTTTTCCATTGTCTTTCAGCTTGTTAATTGTTCATTAATCGATATTTTTTTAACATAATCTGATACGGCTGTAAAGTCTCTTCAATTAATCTCAACGCTGTTTTCTTTTAATAAGTGAATCCGAGAAAATTTAAAATCAACTACTAACTTTCATATCAAAACTTTGCGTAGTTTAAGAATTCGGTCTCGAACACCCCTCCTCCTTGAGGCCAACTCGATTTGTTAGCTCACCACATTGTGTTTCTATGTAAAACGCATCGTCTTATCCTATGCTGCTAAGCAAATAGAAGCGTACTACCTATAATTTTGACGTGCCATTTGCGGTCCTTTTAAACATCGCAGAAACATTGAACCATTGACAGTTCTCAAGAGCATAAATGGGCTATACACCTAAACTACTATAGTAAGTCTGCCGTTCCGGATGCGTGACACCCGAGCTTTGCATTCAGGTTTGTTACTTTAATGGCTTTCTTGTAGTGTGCGAGCCACTTTTTGATTCGGAGGAGCCGACAAGTTCGAACTTTGACACCGTCTGTTGTGTGGAACAGACTAGGTGTGAAAAGCTCTTTATTCCCTGGACCTCTGTTTCTTGGTCTCCTAGGCCTATTTAGGGTACGCTAAAAGCAATCTAAAAGAGGAGAATCGAGATGCAAAAAAGGAGTATGATAACAGGAAAACAGTGCGAAGAGAAATCGTCAACAGGGACAGGGGCCAAAGGAGTGTTAAGGGTTGAACGCAGTTCAGGACAGACTTGAATGGGGAGAAAGGAAAAATCCACAACGTTATCACGAGGACACGTCAGCAGATGTCACCTCCACAGGTTCCGTCTTCGGTTCCAGTGGCTCACCCTCATCCACAGCTATAATAAGGGAAAAAACTCAAGAACTCAACACCGTCTGGCTCACACATCAAAACCCGCCGCAAAAAACTCCTAGCTCCTTTCTGCGTCAATTAAAACAACAAAGTCATCCCTCCCCTGCTACATTCTAAGCAACAAATTATAAGTCGACGACAAAGCTTGACACCACCTTGCACTCGGACGCAATCTTCAGCGACTTCTAAAAGGACTCAATATGTCTGCACCCTAGATTTCAAAAGTGGAACTTGTACTTAGTGCGGCTGCGATCATGTCTGATCCAGCTGACTTCAACGATGTCGCGAGTTCGCAGTGCATGCAGATATTAGGATGTCCTGAATGGTTCACGCACATGGCGACACGCGTTACTGACACCGAGATAGTGCCCGAAACATTTGCTATGACCAACAGCGAAACAGGGCTGCTTACTCTCTCCTACCCTCTTCAGCTTCATGTTTTCTACCATGCTGGTGCACGCCTTACGTGATGAGCGCTCTGAGGTTCACATCGCACACGAAACTGACATGCGGCCCCTTATTAACGTGACCTCTGACAATTCCACACGTGTTCAACGTGAGCTTTTCAACCCCTTTTGTGTTAAGTCGATGTTTGTATTTAAGGTCAAGGTTGTGTACGCAGTACGCTTAGACGATGTCATTAGATATATAAACAACTGCGCTTATTCCTGCCCGACGGCTCGGACGGTAGCTTAGGCCCGGTAACAAGAAGAGCGAGTGAGGTAAACGACTCAGTTGATTTTCTCACTATAAACAATCTGATACGTTTGAAGCTATCACGGTGTGCTAAGAACCGTGGATTGGAGGGTTACCAATTGACGGGAGAACTTGAACCGCGCAGTCGGCCTAGTGTCTGATTGTGTGGAATAGCTGACTGACAGACAAGCGGTCGGGAGTTCCTTCTTAGTGTGGCTTCACTACATGAGCTCCCCGCGAGGTGTGGTGGCACGCACTAACCACCTGCACCCTCTCCCGCATCCGGTCCTCTTGACTTGGTCATGACACCGAGGTGAGGGGGAAGGGAGAGTGCGCTAAGTGCAGCGCAAGCCTACTCTCACAATGACCGAATTCATGCACAAGTCACCGCACTTGCTTTCAACCTGTCGTGCAGCACGCGGTGGGCCTCGTCAGATCCAGCGGCTGAGCTGTTGTATTCGGCCTATTGTAATAGTCGCCGTGCGAGTGAAGTGTGACCCCCTGGGCACAATCGGAGTGCGTATCCCTTAACCCCGGCGGTGAGCGCCCTCGCTACCGTATACCAATGTAAGTCTGAGGATGGGTACTTCCTCAGCACCTCGCAGATAGTCGCACAGTGACTCGTAATACAGTAGATTCCCTATCTTATGAAATGTCAACCGAAATTCTGAAATGTACTTTAGATTTGAAGGAATTACTTTAACAATGTTGTAATATTATCGTACAGGTTATTCTCAAGATATTTCAGTCCCACCGGCATGTCGGCTTTTAATCGAGCTTTCTGCTCGCCTGCAAAAGTATATTATTTAACAAATGGCTACTTAAGTAATATGCATTTTTTCCTCATCAGTCTTCACTGCCCTTATTGATTCAAATATATTTTGCAGAAAACATGCACCATCATAGTCTTTCTTATAGTTATTTTGTAGGAAAATGCATCCTTAGTTTTTAAACTCGAGGAAAGTGTACCTTAAGGTTTTGAAAAAAAATCCAATTAGGAAACTGATCAACCGTGAAATGTTAATTCACAATGCCCCCATAACTGTCACCTTCTTAGTGTTGTCTACTAAGTATCCAACCTGATCCACATCCATTGCAAAGTTGTATAAGCACTAGGTTACTTTTTCCTCATGCCCTAGGGAATTATGCTCTTTTCCTTAGAATGCATACAGCATGCCGTTAGGTAACCTTGAATGTAAGTACAGCAGCCGATATGGTTCAAAAATTATTCGGCAATTTAGAAACTTTTTTAAACTGAAAAATACCCTTTCCTCATGTATAACATCTGAAGAAGGCGTACTTTTCTACCGACTGAATGGTTCCGACTGTATGGCTCCTATAAAATATATTTGAATTTATAAAGGCAGTGCAAATTAATAAGATAAATGCAACTATTTTTACTTAACGTGGTTTTTGAGGCGTTCGGGAAGGAGATCGGTCAAAAGCCGGCATGCCGTTAGGACTGAAACATCTTCAGATTAGCCTTTACGATAAGCCGTCTTACAAAACCCTACTTAAGTAATTTGTTCAAACGGAAAGCACTTTTTAGAATTTTGGTAGACTTTTAATGAGATAGGGAATCTACTGTGCAAACAGAAGGTGACCGACAAAGATAAGGCGGGCTGACGGGGTGGTTTTACAGAACTAAAAGATGTGATCGCTGGAACAAGAATTTTATTTGCCTGACGTTTTGGATTCTACCAAAAATCCTTACTCATACGTAACCGTAGAATAGTGCGAGACATGCACAGATGATGGTGGTTCTTATGGCAGAAATCATGTATCATGAATCATTGTCAGTCCGTTCGCTTTTCGCGTGTTTCCTAGACCGATTTGAGAATACCCTATCTATGTTTGAGAGGCCTTCCTACAGACCAGAAAAGATACCTACAACAGTATCGTATTGGCAATTGAAGTTGGGTAACATTTATCTTCTCTGCAGATGGTAATGCATCGAATGCGTCCGTAGTCGTACACAATTCCGGCAAATTGAAACGGCAACTTGCGCTTGAGCTTTCTTCGAAAGCACGCAACAACAAGGAATTCGCTCGCCCGCCAGCTAGCCAGCCCTCGCCCTACTAAAAGTACCTTCTGCTCACTCTACAGTCATATAGCACATGTTGAGTGGCGAACTAATGTATCTTCTAGGGATAAGCAAACATTTTTTAGAAACATAGGCACAGCAACCTCAAGGGAGGCAATGACAGGTCTGAAAAATTGCAATGTCGGTAGTATTTGCTCGCCTGCGGTCTGCCCTTGTAAACCGAACATCTTCGTTCGCGTAGGTTGGACTATCCTCTAATCTGGAGCTTCTGTAATGCATTCTACACCCAACATGACATCATACTCCCGATCGATGCAAACAAGACGTCCACCTGGGTTACGTGCTTAAAGAGATGATTAAGAATCAGGACTCTTCTGACCAGAAATATGGCTGGCCATTAACGGCAATCATGCCGAAAAAATGACTACATCAGTCTGGCATTTTTAAATTTTGCTTTGCGACTATTACTGCATATTTCTGCTCTTTTATTCTACATCGTCTGCTAATTATCAATAAAATTGGTCATCTTGCCACCTCCTCCAGGTCTGTCATGGCTGCTAGTGTACCGGACGGAAAAGTACAAAAAACTACAGGCTGAAGTCGACAAGCAGACAAAGCGACGTAAGCGCGCATTTGTTTTCAGCCTTTAGTGGAAAAGCAACGGGATTCCACAATGGAAACGAACATTGACAAGGCGACCAAGAAGCGTCTCGGTAATGCCCACCAACCCATCTATTCTTACAATTTATTTAAAAAACACAGAGAAGCAGGAGGAGAAGTTAAAAAATTTCAATCGCGATCTCTCCCTCGTCAAAATGAAGTCCATGTTTGCCATTGGCGTGATTTTTACGGCACTTTTCAGCGTCTTTAACCACACGTGAGTTGTACCTACTCCCGACTTAACACTTCCTGTGTGTTCGCCTCCGCCCTAATACACCATTTATTTGATTTTTTCTATGTAGTTTTGATGGACGCGTTGTGGCCCGGCTGCCTTTTGTGCCCATCTCTTGGCTGCAAAACCTCTCGCATCGAAATCTCCCCGGCACGGACTACACGGACTGCTCCTTCATCTTCCTCTACATCCTCTGCACCATGTCTATTCGGCAGGTAATTTGCCCTCCACCTCATCTCATCCACCTTAATTAGCCCGAACTCAAATTCATGTCGGTGGCTGGTGCGGCGGGAACCTGTGACTAGGCGCGCTACTGCACCCTACATGCGCGGCATTTGATATGGGTACCCATTTCCAATAACGCCCGCTGCGCCCTGATCTGGTCATCGTGTTGGTTGAGCGTATCTACTGCGTGGCCCGTTTTAATAGCTCGACAGTTCGACCGTCGATTTCGAAGATGTCCGTCGTATGCTCCACAACAGGGTCGGTGACCTGCGTGTGAATTAGTTTTAAGTGATAGTAGATTTGCGCAGAATGTACCGCACTCTATTCCTTCACCGATTTGTGCTAGGTGTCAAGACAGAGTCAAGATTGGACGTAGGCGGCTGACGCGGCCGAAGCCGCCCCCTCTCTCCCAAGTTCGGCATTTATTACCGACGCGTAACCCGAATAACGCCTGACATGGCCCCCGTGTTGGTCCAGCGCATCTATTACGCGGCTCGTTTACGAACCCGCTCTTATAGTCACGCGCATACAGCATAATAGTAAACGCGAGGCCTCTCACTATTAAGGCAACAGCTGCGCGCTAAATGTTGCCAGCACAGATGTGGATAGTGTACCGTACATGTGCGAGAACAATGTAAATTCGTGAATACGGCTCTTGTGAAGTGGTGGATTAATACGTGTGTGTATTTGACATGCGTTGCCCTAGGCTTTTTCCCTAAGTCAGTCACTGAGTTTAAACTAGTCGTCAGTTCGCTGGTAGACCCGGACGGCTAATGCGTGGATGGGGGAGAGAAGGAACCCACCCTCACAGCGAACCAGCGCGTTTCTCACTGTGGTCAGTCTGACACCTCACCAGTCGTGGTTTTGATGGTTTTCAACTGGCGGCCAAACCTGGCCCTACGCATGACCGGCGGTCATGTTGCGGTGGCCCCTTAGTGTGGTCGTTGTGTGCCTTTTGCTTATGCACGGCCCGCACCTCTCCATAAATGAGGCCTATGGCGCGGTATACGAGTTTTTTAGTTTTGTGAGCCATTGCTTCCTCATCAACCCCCGGAAGGGAGCCTGCGGCGGTTGCAGTGCATGCTTGCCTCGCTACAC